TGACTTGCACACGGACAGCCCTTCCTCTTGAAAGATTTTGATGTCTCTCCGGTTCTGAACTCAGTCCAGGTTCCTGGCACCTCTTAAAGTTTCTCAAAAGTGGACGAGGAATGTGAGTGTCATGGTCAGCTGCTAGGACCTGTCCACAGCCTTTGGTCTCTGATTTACGGAGCAGCCCTGTCACTTAGTTGATGATGCTCAGTTCCTAGGGGGCTTCTCATTGAGAAGACAGATCTAAAGAAATAGCGCCCTTCTGAAAATAATACAAAATAATATTGAGTGTAAGCTGTCATTGAAACAATCTATTTTTAATACATAAAGAAAGCATTACTGCCAAGAACTGATGTAGTACTGAAAGTCACAGTTCAAAACAGGGTAAAAATGTCCTTTTTTCTAAAAAGCACTCTCTGTACTGTGCTTTTGGGCCCTAAAGATCTTGCAATGACAAGTGATCGCACCCCTGACTATGGAATTTATAAGACACTTCTATATCAAATGTCTACTTGAATTATCACAAGAACTTCGAGAAAACATTGATGTAGTAGACCCCTGAACAACGTGGATTTGAACTGTGCAGGTCCACGTATACGCAGACTTTTTTCAAAAACGCCCGTGCTGTGATCAGTCTGGCGTGCATTGCTCTGTGCCATTTTCCATCGGCGACGGGGGCCTGCACAGGTCTGGGTGTCAGGGGAGCGATGGGGGCTGGACCAGTTCCCTGTGGATTCTGAGGGAAAAACTGAAACTAAGTTTTAGGGGAGTCAGAAGTTGTACGTGGATTTTTTACTACCCAAGGGTGGTTTCCTTACCCCTCCTTCTGTGGTGTTCAAGGGTCCACTGTATTTCCATTTTACAGAGTAAAATGACGTTCAAAGCAAGGAAATCTAATGTTTCTCAGCTCAATAAGTCTGCGGCCAAGATGGAAATCTGGGTTGGTTTTTTTTTACAGTAAAGCTCGTTTTTCTTCCACACAAATATAATAAAGTCTATTAGGAATAAGTAAAGTAATTGCTCAGTATGAAGCTGTTTTTATACTGTTTTGTCTGTGATAGCTTTTGCCAATGATTGCTATAAATTAAATAACAGATTGAAGGCGTGCTCTCTGCAGGAATAAGAACAAAATATATCAAAAGCTGAAATGAGCGAGTCCTATGAACTGCCTGCCAACATGCTTGGATTTGATTCCTTCAGATTTAAGTTATGTGTATTCATTGTTTAAAATTTAAAATATAGAAATGTATAAATAACTCAGTAATTACCTTAATCCTGCAATTTGGAGAATAGAACAGTCGTTTTTCCTGTCTTTTACTCTTAAGACTGTATATATACAGGTATACAGCGTATCTGTCTATACATTTTGTCCTGTGAAAAGATTTGTCAGCCCATGGTCCTTGGCACCAACTCAGTGGCAGCAGAAATGCGCAGTTTGAGCTGTGGGGAAGAAGGAAACTGTTCAGTGGCAGGGGCCCTGGGTGGCCCTGGGGCCAGGCCTCTGTCCGCCGGACAGCTCTAGCTGCACCTCCACGGTCTGCTCCACAGTGGTTTGCTTGGCACTGCTCTGCTCGGCTCGGGTCTGCGCCAGCCTGCTCTGGCCCGTGCTGGTCGGCTCCACGCGGTGAGACGGCTTCCGGTGAGACAGCTTTGTGTGTCCTCTCAGCCAGGGACACGCGACCTCCAGTCTTTGGAAGTGTGCCCTCAGAGCCGGAGGGAAACTGGCTCACCCGGAGAGAAGTCCCCGCCGCTGGGTGCCTGATTGATTGGTCTGCCTCATGCAAATGAGGACTCTAAATCCTTGAAGTTTGATTGGTCGAAAAGGCACTGTCCTGTCCTGATGGGTCGGAGTGGAGGCACTTTGGTTGGGCAGAGCTGTGCAGCTTCATTGATGGGTTGCAGTAGGATTCCAGGAGCTCCCGTAAGGGGCTGGCCCAGATGGCAGGGACACAGTGCAGGCGGCTGTCGGTGCAGGCTCCCTGGGGAGTGCGGTTTGTGTAACGGGACCATGGGAGAGATGGCTGCTAGGCTCTGCTTTTTTAAATTTGAGCCCAGCCAACCATTAGCCCTTCTTAGTAGGTGTCTTTCTTCTCAGGGTTCACAGATTGTACTGCATTATGGACAGTGTGTCTATGTAGTGTGTATACACTGTGTGCTCTACTTTTTCATAGAATGTACTCTTCATGTCTAAATTCTAAATCTGTATCATCATTTTCTAGTGTCATGTGTAACTTTCTGTGCTAATTTCTACTTACATTGCACATTACTTAATCAATTATTTATTATTATCTGTATAGGTTTCATATTTCACTATTGTAAACAGCCTCATGATAAATTTGTACATATATCTGGCATAATTATATTATTACTTCTGTTGGATAGAAAATTTAATTTCAAAGGGACTTTGTTGTCTAAAATAGAGCTTGTTTTTAAGGCCCTTCCACTTAAAATAACACATTTTTCTTGAATAGCTGTACACATTTATATACCCACCATGATTGAAAGGAATTATAATTTTTTTTTACTTTTCTCACCACTGAATATATATTATTTATATTTCTTCTTTGTGAATATTCAGTTCAAGTTCTTTTCCCATTTTTTATTGAAGTGCTTATTTATTTTTTCTTATTAACATGATCTTGTGATATTTTTAAATTATTAGTTTCTGTTCATCTATATTGCAAATAGTTTTTCAACTTTATTGTTTGTCTCTCATTTTGTTTACAGTACTTCTACTATAGAGATAGTTTACACTTTATTTTTATATTCATCCTTAGAGAGGATTTTTTTCAGCCTAAGAATATAAATATGTATAATAACTTTTATTTTCTACTAGTATTTTTTAAATTGCATGTTTTCTATTGTGAATTGTATGCTTATATTTTTTTTCTCCTATTGGGTAACTTAATGTTTTCTCATATATACATAATTACTGTTATAGTTATTATTCATTTCTAAATTTTGAATTACAAACCTTATTTGCCTCAAAACTTCAAGTAATACTTCATTGGAAATCTCTCTTCGCTACCCTCCTTTTTCTTTTTCTTTCTTTTTTTTTTGTTTTGGTATGTGCCCCTAGCGGGAACCGAACCTGGGACTCTCTGGTCCACAGGCTGATGCTCCAACCGCTGAGCCAAACCGGCCAGGGCACTACCCTCCTTTTTCTTAGTATTTGGTGCGTACGTTTTCTTGGGCCGTAGAACATGGTGTGTTATAGTGCATCACCTATGGCAGAGTGGATACTCATGCCTGTTTCATGCGAGATACTTGTGGTCAGCTGAGGTCACAACCTGACTTTAATTCTGGCTGAGTTCTGGGGTAAAGAACCCAGGGACCCACCAATCACACAGCGCCGTGTTGCTCCTTGAGTTCAAAGGTGAGTCAGGAGACAAGTGAAACAGCAGCCCTCTGTGACATGGTTCTTCAGGTAGCAGTGAACACAGGTACACCTGTGCTCGTTGATAATATTTTTCTCCGGTTGTAATCTTTTAAGATTCTGAGACATTTGTGATTCTTGCAATTTGTTCATATTAGAGATTTCCTGAGACATATATTTCATAAACATTAATTGGGAAACTATATGAAGATATTTTCCCACCCTTCAAAGGAATTATATACTATATGGCATATCAAGCATCATCCTATCTATTCCAGAAGGTAATGGAGCAATATCAATATTCTCATAACACAGACCTAAAGAGATTAAGTGATGTGCTCAGTCCACACAGTAAATGAAGAAAGGGAAACCCCACAATCCACAGGAGGAAGGAACACATTTCATAGTCTACTGCCTAGGAGGCTTTGTAATCAATAGGAAAACTACATTAGATTATGTTTCTCAAAATGTTGTACAAAGATCACCTACACCAGAATATCTGGGATTACTAAAAACAGTGATGAAAAGTCTTTCAGTTAAATCATACTTTGATTTTTAAAGCAAACTTACTGATTTTGTACTTCAAAAATTAGAACAGGGAAACTATAACTTTCTGAATGTAGTTTCTTGATCTTCATCCAAGACCAGTGGCTGGGGACCATGGGAGGCAGTGACCGGCGTTGCTAACAGACCCAGTGTCCGGTGTCCAAAGTATTATATATTTAGACTCTAAAGCTGGGACAATCATGACAATATAAAATAAACATTTCAGGTTGTATTTCACTTTGCAGATAAAGGTAAACAATGTGCCATTTTTTTCCCATAATGTCAAAGTATAATTTAGAAAAAAATGTATTTTTCTTAGTTATAGTAACTGCTTGAATATAATATGGAAGGATCCACTTAGTTTGATGTACTCATGTGGACAGTTAACTATCTGCGAGCAGAATTAATGCTTTCTGACCGATTCCATGTCTTTTTCATATCAGAATAAATCTCCATGATCAATTTTGGGGGAAATACTGGAGCTTTTGCCAATGTATAAAACTCACTGTGATGCTGTTGTTGAAATCCCATTTTTCAAGTGGTTATCGATGCAGAAATAGATTCTATAAAACTGATTCCTAATTTCAAGCATCCTGCTTAATTACATTTTATTGATGCTGATAATTAAAAATGAAGCAAAGCATGAGAGTGGATTTCAGTTTAATTTTATTTTTATTGGAAGGGAACACAAGCCTGACTAAATTTTCAAACTTATAAATTTGCCATTTATGTGAAAGAACTGTCAATAAAACAAGCTATTTCAAAAATAATTTTAAAAGTTATATCACAACATTTTTATCATAAAAACCAAATATATATATATATATATATATATATATATATATATTTCCTATTTTAATAGTGGGATTTCATTTAGTTTTGATGGTGGTATTGATTCAAATCAAAAGTATGAATGTTTTACCGTGAAAAGCTCTGCAATTCAGGGATAATTAACACTATTTTAGCAGGGCCCCAGCGTGTGTAATGTTGGACCTGCAGGGGTTTCCGTGCGCCTGTTTGCAAAGCCCTGCGTCGGGTAACTGATGTCGCATGTTTCTCGGACAGGCGTATGCAGGCAGAGACCTGGAGGAGCAGCTGCGGGCAGTGTCCAGTGTGGATGAGCTCATGACCGTCCTGTACCCGGAGTACTGGAAAATGTACAAGTGTCAGTTACGGAAAGGGGGCTGGCAGCCCGGCCCGGAGCAGCCCGACGCCGGCGCCAGCACGGAAGGCACTATAAAATTCGCTGCGGCACATTACAACGCCGAGATCCTGAAAAGTGAGTGTGGGGGTGAAAACGTGGCCGAGGGTCATGGAGCGCCCAGTGAGGGTTGCCACCTCGGCCCTTCCATGTCAGCGTTTGTATCACTGAATGTTTTTAGGGCCCAAAGGAGATAGGGTTTTCCGGGCGCAGCGTTCTGTGCGTTCACCGTGAGCGGTTAGGATGGTTTCCTGAAATACGGATAAAGAGAGACTCCTGCATGCCTAGCAGCACACTTGCCTTTATTTTTCCTAATTAGATGATAATCCCACTGCAAATTTTTAAAACCTCTCAACATATCTGACACAGTCTGTGAGTTTAATCATGCACACATTCTGTATCTTACAAAATGATTGCACAGAAATCTGCTCTCTGACGTGGATTTAGAAATGCTTGATTTCTAAATCATTCCAAGTCATCTCTTCAGATCCTGTTCGCTGTCCTGGTTCTCAGGTACCCGGCCTGAGAGGGGCCTGGGTAAAGCCCCTGGTCGGTCAGCAGAAAGCGCCACTCAGATTACGATCTGCATAGTAGGGCTTGGTGGGTTGCTTTTAAACAGTAATTCCCCTCCATTATCCGATATTAACCTCTCTGAAGGTTTGAGATGGCAAAGTATTTTCAAAACAAAAGCAACCAAACAAAACGGCTTCAGGGTTGAGTCATGAATAGGGCATGTCCTTTTCCCCCAAAGAACTTTGTTTTAGGGGAAATACGGGAAAAGGAAGCTCAAACATTGGAGAGGTACGTCCTTGTAGGGCAGTATTTAAAGACTCCGCCGTGCCCTAAGCAAGCCACCCAGTCCCTGGGAGAAGAATCCCAGCAGGGAGCCCGGAACGGGCAGGAAAAGTCCCCTTTCCTGAGAAAGCCGAGTTCAGGAACCTTATTCCAGTTGACGGAAAATACCCTTGTATTTCAAATAGCTGCCACCCTGACGTTAGCCAGGACTGCCAAAGGCCTGCCTGAAAATGGTTTTTGAATTGAGTCCAAAACCATAGCCGTCTTTTCATTTACATCTGAGCTTAAAAGGAACAATCGAATCGTGTGTATTTGCTTTGCGACCCCACAACGGCCCATGTTACAGCAGATGAACGTGACTCCGTCTGCGGCGCTGTGAACACCTGTGTATCGGTGTTCTTTTCCTTAAGCTGAGCCAACCGATCATGAGGGCCGTAGAACGGGTGTTTTTTTAAGAGCCTGGTCCTGACTGAGCTCGTTACACGGCTGCAGGAATTCGTTTTAAGAACGATCCTTGGCTCCCTCTTACATAGGACGCGTGTCCGGTTCACAGGGTCGTTCAGGATACCGACGACGATTTCTTGAACGTAATCCATGACCTTTGAATCTTAAAATCTGAAAGCAAATGTGAGTGACTTCCAACTGCTGTGGGCTGTTTCCCCTTGGTGGCTTCTGTGTAACCTATGGCCTTCCCTGTGACTCGACAGGTATTGATAATGAGTGGAGAAAGACTCAATGCATGCCACGTGAGGTGTGTATAGATGTGGGGAAGGAGTTTGGAGCAGCTACAAACACCTTCTTTAAACCTCCATGTGTGTCCGTCTACAGATGTGGGGGCTGCTGCAACAGTGAGGGCCTTCAGTGCATGAACGCCAGCACGGGCTACCTCAGCAAGACGGTAGGTGTCCCCGCCCCGCAGCCCGCCCCCAGTGCCCGCCCCACTCCCGCCCTTCAGGCTCTCCCGTCGTCTTTGCCGAATGAAGTCCTCCCAAGAGTTTGTGGTTTGGATGATATCATATCACAAAGTGGTGCTTTCTGGACTCACACAGTGGTACCAAAGCCAAGTGGAGAAAATAATAAGTGTATCTACGAATGTATGTGAATTCACACTCATGTACACACACACACTTGAGTACGCATACACACATACACATGTGCGCATGCGCACATACATCCACATAGACATACACACAATACATACAGACGTACACACATACAGACATACACACATGTTGATCTTTGAGGATAAAAATGTTCATTTGGCCATAATTTTCTTTCTGATCACTGAGATAGAGCATGCATTGCGTATTAAAAACGTGTAATTACAAGTATGTGATTTGAGCCAGTGGACCAGTACGGACAGAAACCACCACACTAAGCATTTCATTGTGTACTAGAAAGAAGGACCTTCTGACATTTAGTCTCAGGTATTTTGAACAGACTGTACAGTCCCATCGTAGTCGATGCGAAGCTTCTGTTAAGTAACCAGGAAACTTCTCTTAGGGCTGGGTTTGCATGCGGGATTTTCAGAGCAGACGCAGCCCTGCGCTGCAGGTCTCGGGCGACATCCAGGACATGTTTGTGTGCAGGTGACAATCACGGAGTGTTGTTTAAAACTGCGTGTACCGGTCGCCTCTGCTCAGGGGAGACAGAGCTAAAGGCGGGGCAGAGGCAACTTCTCCTGGAAAGATAGAACTGGTTTCTGGAGAGGCTCGTCCAGTCTGGTTTGAGTTGAAATAGCGCAGGTGGTCTGGATCCATTCAGAGCTGGCCTTTGACCTCCAGCGTGAAACATGAACTTATTTCAAAAACGTGATGTTAGATTTGCTTTATACAGTGTGGAATGACAGCGAGTGAACATTTGTAATTAAATACTGTCTACACTTAGAACACACATAAGTTTCATTTTGTAAAAACTGTAGCTAATCTGCATAATTCCCACTAGTAAAATCTACCTTCATTTTAATAATTAAGTGGAAAAGAAAGTTAAAATCGCTACCTCGGTTACTTCAACTGCATTTTCCCATCCGGTTGAAAATCTCTAGTTTTTATTGTACTAATCACATGGTCTCTGAGTTTGGAGACATTGTCTAACCAAATTGCTTTTTTTTTTTTAGGAACAAAATATATTTCTTTATGTTTCTCACACACTTGATGAACAAGCCATTTCAGATGCTAACACTTTCACGAGGAAACAAAAAATACGTTATAAACCTGAATTGTTTATTCACTTGCCTCTGCCTAAACACTAAAAATTAAAAGGTGATGTTTTGGGGTCTTTTGTCATTCCTCTTATTATCATCGTTCTTGAAACATAGCCAGAAGTAGTTTATTCTTTATTATTTCATACAGATACAGAAAAATAGCATAGGTTTTATTCTAAGTAGCAGGGAAAGCAGTATAACTAAATACAGTCATGCATTTAGAAACTTCATCAGTAGAGTAGAAATGGGTAATAAGATAGCATTTCAGAGCCTGACAAAATACTAATATTTTAAAGGAATACTATAGCCCTGGCTGGTTTGGCTCAGTGGTTGGAGCGTCGGCCCGCAGACCAGAGTCGTGGGTTCGATTCCGGTACAAGGGCATGTACCTTGGTTGAGTTTGTCCCCAGCCCTGATTGAAGTCTTGCGGGAAGCAGCCAGTCAATGTGTCTCTCTCACATCAATGTTTCTCTCTCTCTCTCTCTCTCTCTCCTCCCTCCCATTCTATCTGAAGATAAATGGAAAAATATCCTCAGATGAAGATTATTAAAAAACTAGATAAATACAAGAATAATATATAATCGTAATGTCAAAGCAGCAAAACTTCTCCTTTTTCCTCTCAAATCTTTATTGAACAACAATGAAGAATGTCTTAGCTAGGAAATTATAGATTTATATTATATACTATTCTGAATAAAATAATACTAATTTAACAGGTTTTACTGGATATGATGTGTTTATCTTATCATAACCCTGAGATAAAACAGGTTTAAAAATAATCCTTTAGTAAGTGTTGGAACTAAAAACCTTTTCTATCAAATAGAAATATGTATGCCAGTAGGATAGTCCCCCCCAAAAAGTAATATTTATTTTAAAACATATTAATATTAAAACTTTTGCTGGTTTTATTTTCAAGCCAAACTCAATAAAAGCATTTTTGGCCTTCTGAGACTCTTGGGAAAAAGTCATTTTTTAAATAAAGAAAATAAATATGGGTGATGTAGGAATTAAAATAAGTTTGTGGAATACATTTACTAGTGTGTATTTTAAAATAATTCAGTTAAGCAACATGATCTGTGTCCTAGAGTATAGTGTTTATTATTATGGTGTTTCATTTCAATCAAACTTCACTTTGGTTGATCTTTCAAAGGTATCAATGTACTAACTGCATTTTCCAAATACCAAAGGGCCATATTTCTTTTAAAAATGGAATAACGTGGGATAGACTTAGAGATACATTTTGAAGAATTATTTCATCAAATAAAGCAAAATGTATCTATTAAGAGCTCATTACTCATCATTTTATAAAAACCTTGTTAGATTTAATTGTTAGATGAAATTTTTCTTTCAAAATGCTCATATTTCAAAGATGTAGAGTTGAATAATAACCATTGTAGTGTTGGGATTTATTGTTTTGTTCGCTTCTTTCTTAAAATTCTTGTTTTTTCATTGTTACTTCATTTTCTTGGTGAAAATCAATTACCAATTGACAATATCCAAAGCTACTTTTTTATTACTAATTTCTTCCACAAATTTTATTTTGCCTTGTTAAGTTAATACAAAGAAAATATTTTAAATGAATTTTCTTTAAAATAAATCTCTGAAGTTCTATAGCATAGTATTTATTAAATATGACTTTCATATTTAAATGAACAATTAGTTTTATATTTAAATATTTCAACCTATATCTTCTTTAGGTACCGATGCCCACGTGTTCTGTGTACTAGTTCCTCAGACGAGCTTTTTCTCCCAACATCGAGCACACCCCAAACAACACCACCTCCAGAAAACGCACCTGGTCCCCTGGTTTTACCTCTCTCATTACATGACATCATTTCTCGTCAGAAACACAGGGTCGTTTTTGGCGTCTCCTCTCCCATCACAGATGCGGTCACCAGTCCAATGTTAATTTCATCCCTCCAGTATCTTCAGTCTCCACATCCATCACCGTCACTGCAGTCCGAGATACTTTGATGCTCTTTCCAACTAATGAAATAACATCCTTTCTGCTCTTCCTGCTTCCGTGTCCCCCTTCCTAATCTAGCCTCTAAATTGCCCCCAAGTGGTATCTTTAAAAACACACATTTGATGCTGGCAGTCTTCGGCATAAGGGCCCCTCAGGGATTTCCCGCTGTGCTTGAAATAGGACCGAAATCTTGATCACAGCCTTGAATGTCTGCCCGCGTCTTCCTTCGCAGCAGCATTGGCTGTGACTTCCCCTGGACCTTACCATTTTTGCTGGCAGTGTTCTAGAATTCCTTCCATTTCTGGGAACCCTGTCTGCCCCAGAGCCTTTGCACATACCTTCAAATTATCCTGGCATTCCTGTCCCCTCCTGGCTCAGGTACCAGTTCTTCAGGTCTCCACTCCAGTACGACCTGGCATGAGGAAGTCCTCGGGGGAGATTTTTCTGATCTTCTGAGATAAGACCTCAGATATAGACCCAGTATTTCTTTTAAATGTTTTATAGTTTCCATACTTTTCTTTGATCCAGATACTGTAGCTTCCAATTCTATAGCGTCACAAAGACAGAGAGTCCTCTTTAGTTGACTAAGGTCTGTCTCCTCCGAAAAGGCGAAAGCAGGTCTCTCTTTCTTGTTCCTTGCTTCCCGAGAGCCTAGCACAGAATTAGTGCTCAGCTTCTTCTAGAACCACAGCAAAGCTGCAGCTCCTTCAGCAGAAGAAAATGAAAGTACAGACACACCCATGATGTCCCCCCCACCCTGTTTCAGGACGCTGGGTCCCTGATACCTAAGCGTTATCTGTTGAACCAGGTATTCAAACCACTGCCTTCATGATTAATAATAACATAATGGCTGATGGACTCGGCAGTGCCATTTTTAAATAAACCGATTCTTTTGCCTAACAGAAGTGCATACTCTAAATTTTAGCTAACTTTTTAAAAATAGCTGTTTCTTTAGCCTACAGGAGAGAAAATTCTCCCCCTTCTTCATTCGATGTTCATGTGAGCAGAAGTCAGCATTCTCTGCCTTTTACTAGCGGTTTGCTAAATACATGCCTACTTTACATGCGTGTCCAATAGATAACAGGAGTGCCTCAGGCAAAACCTAAGTCTGGAAAACAACACAGCTCATTGTTAGTAAACAAAATAAATACAGTCTTCAGTGAAGGGTTAGCGTCAACTCTTTTCTGTGACCTCTTCATATTCATCCCCCATGTTGGTCTAACTAGGCTCCATGCTTGCCTGATTCGTATCAGAGTGAAGTATTTATTGGAGGGTAAGTGTGTGTTCGGGGCAGCATGGAACCTGCTCCATCAGGTTGGGGGCCTTGGAGGGTTTGGGCTTTAGAAGGAAGAAGGCTTGATGGCCAAGTTGGCAGTTCAAAGAGCAGTTAGTGCTAAGTTTAGGGCCTGTGCAGGTGAAATGGAATTTGGTCCAGTGGCCTCAGTACTTAAACACTCAAATACGTGTTTTTCTATAAGAAAATTGCCCACTTTATATGGAATTAGTTCTCATTCTCTTTCATCTTCTTTCATCTCCAGGTTTCAGAGACCTTAGGCCTCCTTGTACAGTAGATGGATCATGTTAATTTCCCCTGCTTCCTCCCGGTCATCTGCTCCTTTGAAGAGTCAAGATTTACCTATAAACGTTTTGAAGTCTATCTGGTGTTTGTTGTTGGTCTACGTTGTTTTTCAGTTTTGTTTTGATCCTTTATGTCAAAGAATTGTGCAGT